TTGACGTTTAAATCCACGCTTGAGGGAAAATTCGCTACCGGCGCGCGAAGCCAAGACGAAACGCGTTCTAAGGCAGAATCTCGGGGATTGGATAATTTTTCGTGTCCACCTTCGCGCAAGCTCGAGGGGTACGTACTTACAATTTAGAGTACGTGTCGGGAGGACAGAGATGGAGGATCGGCGGCCTCTATAAAACGGAAGAGGAATAAGAGAGGCGAGATCCTGGGCCAGGCGTAGAGAGTGTCGCGCGCGGATGCAGCCAGCTGTAACGTAACCGACTCTGGCGCCGTATTTGTCTTTCGGTGCAGCTATTCTCCCTGTGTCTCACTTTACTCTCACTTCTGCATCTACCGCTTCTTTTGTTTCCCTCTATCTCTCAACATCGTCGCCGGAACGGCGCGGCGACGTATGGAGACGTTTATGTCTTTGCACGAAGGAAAGCAATTTCTGGAATGTTATCACTAATCGTTAATGTTAATCATTAATCATTGCTGGAGAAACTTCAATATATGATAACAGAAAGAATTGCGAGATTAGTTAATGCACAGTCTTTTAGCTGAGAATATTAAGTATTTTTTTATAACTATTTTTGACTTTTCATATGTCAATAAGATGTGCTAAGTTGAAGTTAATCAACGCTTGCGAATATTAAATTTGTTTGTTCTAAGTTATATTAATTTTAAATAAGAAATTTATTTATTAATAAGGCATTTTTGCTGAAAAATTTGTTGAAAAATTATAACTAAATTAATCGCTTAATAATTGCTAAGCACCAAATTTTATTCTATTTGGTGCTTATAAATATAATTTTTGTGGAACGACAAAAAAGACAATCTAATTACAAAACGTGCTGCAGTAATTGAAAGTATTATTTAAAATTGACGACAACATTCGCAATCAAAATTTTGTGTAGCAGTGGAAACTTGGTATTTTCTTCCCTTGCTGGGATCTCCTTCCCGTTTCCTTCTCGTCTCAATTTCCCGCACAGCCCGCGTCAGCTGTTACCCTCGTCGAACTTGCTTCACGGTGGGAATGCTCGCATCTCGACGTCGGCAAGATGGATGCGCGCAAACATCGATCGACATTGATCACTTAAGCAGAAAACGTCGCGAACGATTATTACGACATTCCGCGAAATTTCATGAGAACGCAAACGAGAGTAGAACGCGTCACTTTCTCATTGGCGTTTAATTCAAGAACGCGGGAATTTTATCACGAGACAAAGTATTATATTAGGCACTTTTTATCACGTGTTCCTCTCTTTCATGCTCTAAGTGCCTACCGCTCGAACGCTTCGTTTCGACTCGGAGCGGGCGTCGACGACAACGACTACGACTACGACGATGAAGAGGGTGGAACTCGGCTCGGCCGTTTTATCGCGGCTCGCCGCTGAGCAAGCAGGGACTCCATCTCTCACGCAACTTCAGGATTTGATGCATGTGCCGCCGGAACATTTGTTCGATCCCCTCTCGAGTTCCCCCGCGCCTCTCACGCTCGTTCCCTCCTCTCGACTGTCGGGCTCTTGGGCCGCCTATACCCTCCGGGAAGCGGCAGGTCTTCTCTCTCTCCTCTCGGTGTCTTCCTCTTCCTCGAATTTCTTCCTCCACCGCGTTCTCCGCCCTGTTCACCCGCGCGTAACCCGCGCCACGGCCTTCGCCGCGCCGCGCCAGTGAGGGTATTGGATCTTCGCCGTCTCCACGGTGTAGGCAGGTTTATTTTTATTCCATACGATTCATTCGATTGAACATGACTTGTGGTTACAACCCGGGCGATATATTTCCGATATTACGGGACGACATTCCAACTCCCGTTGGTCCCGCGAGTCTCTTGTATTCTTTGCCCATATCGCTCGCGCGCTGCCGCCACCCGCCGACCGCTGGTAAAATACGTACGATCCTCTCTAGAATAATAGCGGCTTCCGGGGGATTCATGGATGTATACCCCGCCCGCTTTCTCGCGGCGCGGGTAAGGGAAATGGGCGCACCACGGTCGTTGCAGCTGGTTCGATTTCGGAAATTAGCCCCCGGTATTTCCTGCAGCTCTTGGAAATCCTTTGTCAAGTAAGGATCGTTCGGATGCTCTCTTTGCCGCGTGGTGGTAATCCGTTAACCCGCGTACAGAGATGCACTCGAGTGCAGCGGGAGATCCTTGTAACTCGTCTTAATTGCGGCCCCAAATAATTGCGGTCGGAGCGAATCAATTTTCGTGATAGCGATAGGCGATTGGTTTCCCAATCCGTTAAAAGTAACGCGATTTATATAAAAATTATTTTGATATTATTACTCATTATCAGTTATCTATCTCGTACCCTGATTATATGTTCAATATTAATAGCAAATGTTACCAAAACATTACCATATGAATCTATTGCAATCAAGTGTCAGGCTTAACATCGTGGAAGCGTAATAATGCAATAAATACAGTACGCAGCCACTCGATTATTTGGCTATTCCATTGATCTTACGCTGATAAGAGCTTATCATCGACTTATTGGCTTAAACACGATGCGATCAATTCGTCCAGTACGTGCTTCGCAAAAATACTGATGAACACTATTAGTATTAGTCCAATCTACATTTTACAGCCGATTATTCGAAGACACTTTCAAGTTAGACAAAACTATCTAGATGCTCATTGATAATCTCGTTATATCACGGCGCAGATGAGTAGTAGTTTCCGCAGCCGGCATAGCGCGCCGCGGCGACGCGAATGCCATTATTGCGGAAACAGCGGACGCGCTCATCGCTGCAAAATGCGGGCCGTAATAATTGCGCGGCAACGTTAATTCGTTTCCCTCCTCGCGCGAATAATTTTCTACGTAAATACGTGCATGCATAATGGCGCGCCTCTCCTACCCCCACCGCAGCCTCCTAATTAACACGTTACGCTGTCCTAACGCGTCGCTTTGCGCTCGAAATCGATACAGCGCGGCATTAATTATTGCTTTACGATAGTCCTTGATTAAATCACGATATCGCTGGTTATGTCGACTCGGATGTCGTAACCAATAGTAACCATCCGGTAAACACTTTGTCGCCTGGTCGGGGAAAATTTAGTTCGCCGCCCGCGCATTAACTCCATTTTGCAATACTATCGCTATCGGAATATTGTACGGTTAACGATACTGTTGTAATTATGCGCGTGCCACTACATAACTAGTGCGATCTCAACGACATTAATACCTTTATTGGTTTCCCCGCGACATGTTTTTCGCAAATATGCGTGTAATTTACCTTTTAATTTTAATGAGAGCTTTGTCCGAATTAATACGAGCATGAAATTTATTAAATATATTGTTTTTAAATCGGAGAATTGAAAAAAGGAAGAATAGCGCGGCGCGAAGTCAGAAGACTTCTATGTAATGATAAAGTAATCTGAAGTCATTGTCCTTTAGGTCAAACGAGGTTCCTCTCGTTTTGAACGAAAACAGTTATACTGAGTGATAAAAATAAAATATATTATTTCATCGCGATTTATTTTAAAGTATAGCATATTTTAACGAACATAGATAATTAAGCGTGTGTCGCTCAAACAGTTTTCTCGAATATCGAAAATGCCCAGCAAAAATAGTTAATTTTCGTTAATATCTGTTCGGTTTATAACGTATAATAGTTAATTTTCGAAAGCCTAGAGATACTTTGATGATAACCGTTCGGTCGAAAGCTCGATAATTCGTTTCAGCTACCGTCCGCGTCGTAAAGGTTGCTAATTAGGCGGCGCTATGACAGTGCTAATAAACGGATGCGCTGACACTAACACAATATATCGGTGTTGTGAGGGGGCGACCGGATAACTAGCGGCACATCTGAATTATCCGTTAATGAATAGCGATGTTGTGGGCAACCCAGATTTATTCGATTATTTGCGAGATTAGTCGTAGTTCGTGGCTACTCAAATTGGGAATTTCCGAAAAATCTTCACGAATCGGTCATTACGTGTCAATTAAAGCTCGCTCTTGTCCGATATTATCCGCGAATGCTGGCCATTAAAGAATGGTAAAAACAAACATAGGTATAAACCGCAACAATCGTTTAAAAAATTCAATATATAGATATATAAGCGTGTATTTATAGAAATTTATCCATATCGATTTAACAGCCGTCTCTCATCGCTTATCAATAAACGGACGAGTCTATTCAGAGAACGGAAATATAATTTATGAGAGCGAATTATGTTCACGATATGCGTCGCTGTCTGATATAGGAAATTTAATCAGAGCATATATTCGTATTTGGGACTTTCTGATTCTGAAGCATTTATAATAGAACAATTGATATACCGAAAATAGAATTACGATAACTGAAATTAACAGATTTTTCAATCTACAGAGAAGATTGAAAGTAATAACGCATGGGCAAGTAACTTAATTTCGTAAATTAATTCCCATAAAAATTAATTCTGTTACTCCGAATTGGTAAGAAAGTCTTTTTTCTAATTTATTTCGAATTACTCGAACCTTTATTGATTTCGTACGTCTTTTGTAATATAAAGTAATTCACAAAATAAAAACTTTTGCAAACATCAAAAGTAATTAAAAATTGTATTCTGACAAATAGACCTCTGATATTTTGATATTGTAATATTCAACTAAATATTTTTTTATCCTCACTATACGGCGCTAAATGTAATATCGTCGATTCTGTTTGTTCAAGAATTGGAATGCATAATAATCGAAATATAAATTTTTATTTGCGCATACGATTCTTGATCAATCGCACTCTAAAATTTTGATCAAATGAATAATATGGTTTTAAAACGGTATCGGTGAAATCGATTGATTTATATTGCAAAAGGATAATTCTTCATTTTAATATACGCGAAATCAAACGAGAGGCTGAAATAAATAAATAAATAGAAATCGATGAATAATTATTGTGCGTGATAATCGAGAAAATATTTGCTTGCCTCTGCCAGTAGATATCCTATTAAATCCACATAATATTCCATTATTGTTTTAAATTTTATTCTTTAATAATTCATTCCGTTCCACGTTGTTACAGAGCAAGGACAAAACACGAGCAAGAAGAAGACAACGTTTTCGAGATTACTACGAGGATTGAAGACGCACAGAAAAGAGAAACAAGGCCAGCAAGCACAAGGCTCTCCTAGGCATGGTCGTGCAAGGATGGGCGTTCCACAAAGAGTAAGTGTTATACATTCACACAATATTAAAAATTATTTATGAAAATATAACGACGGTGTCTCATTAGACTGATTCGTGCTAAATTCAATTTAGCATGAATTTAACATAAATCCGAAATTATAAAATATTTCGCTCAACGCGGGATCAGATTAATGCGCGGATTGCACGACTTTCAAAATTTCCCAGAACTCTCCTTTTATTATAGCGCTTTCGTTATACCAGATGTACGGCAGACGAGGTAAAATTGCTCTCCATTGCGCTCGGCTTGATCATCGTGCGCGTACCATTTCAAAGGATCAGGTTTCATCGCGTAAGAATAACTTTTTTTTAGAAGCAAACTCTCACACGCGGCACTGTTTAATCCCACTTCGCGGCTCCGCGGTCGTAAACGCGTGCGCGTAAATCAATGTCACCGTAATTGCGTGACCGCACGACATTATCACGTACGTGAAGCTCCTGCGTGAGAGATTTCGACGACTAAAAATTAAACCCCGCGCGTACTTCTCGGCAAGATTATGCACAAGTTAATTTCCATCATCATTTGCTGCCGCTCGTGCTTTCATTAAGCACCTCTGGTTCAACTGACAGCGAACTGCCGACACACAAATGACAGAACTCGAAAGAGTTCAGACTCTCGTCCATCTATATAATAAGTATGCACGGCTGATTTTTGGTACGCTGAACGCATTTTACGTCCAACGCGGTATCACTCGTTTTTCACGCAAATTATGCCGTTCGACCAAATGCAAACTCAGCTTTAATATATGCGTTACGGCGATTCGTTTGTTTGATATTAAGCTATCCCGTGAATTACTGCACACCGTATGCATCAAATGAAATAACTTTCATCTGACAATGAGTCAGGAACATCTCTATACTGTTTAATAATAATGCTTAGAATTTAAAAATTACTCTCGAGTTTTGGAATAATTTTTAATATTCTTAAGAATTTAAAAATTACTTCTGAGTCTTGAATGCCATACTTATTGAAAGAAAGAAAATTGCAAGGTTAAAATGTACTTTGACTGCTTCAGGAGTTTTGCTTTAGTTTCTTCAACTGTGGAACGATGGGAGAACAGGAAAGTTGTAAAAATATCGATCTTGATACCATAGACTTATTGATAGCACGAACTGATTTCTATTTTTATTCTATTCTATTCTATATTCTATTTTGATATTCTATTCCATTCTATATAGATTAACTGTATCACATTTGAAGATCTAATGACTTAAGTTATTGACATAAAATTGATATTCTATTTGCAATTGTATTTTCATGCAAAATATAAGTTAATATTAGATTAGATGCATAATATATTAGGAAAAATATTATAGATAAATTATATTATGTTCAAAATGATTCTAATATCGATTAAAATAAATTCACAAGAATCTTACAAAATTCAACGTGCTAATTTAGAAGTCATAACACAACTTTACCTCTATATACTAATTCATGAATTTAGCGAACATTATATCTTATTTTTATTTGCCCAGAAATTTATTCTCTACATTGATCCCAACAATAAAGATCGCGATAGCTGTAACATTTATTTCTATGGCCGACTGGTGTGTTTTGTTCAACGAAATGTTTTCTATCGTATTCCACGAAAATATATTCAATTAAAAAAAAATGGCTGTTAATCGTTTTGCGGCGCATGATGCACGCGCGGCACGCGTAATCCTATACGGTTTAACGATTTGATTTATCGCGTTCATGATGCTAGGGCAACCCCTCCATTTTCTCTTTCTCATCCATTCATTCAATCCCGATAACAGCGCAATGCTACAAATCGCAATTTATAAAAAACATTGATGAAAATCAATCGTATAAATTTCGGCGAACAGTCACTCAACCAGAGAAGAATAGCTCTCTACGCGGTTTCAGAAATTCCATGTTTCTAGAATTCTTTTTTTTATGTGAATGTGTTACACGAGACTTGTTTATAGGAAATTGTTGCAATAAAACACAATTGTAATCATAAGGGGCCCATTTTGCGGATTGTAGTGAATTATTCAAATGAGCAATGTCGAATATAACATCAATTACTACATACATCATTGCAATATCGTTATCTTTAATAATCTATTTCACAACTCGTATTATGTGTGTGTATGTGTGTGTGTGTGTGCGTGCGTGCCCATACTACATATAAATCTTTCATTCTTCCAGTGCATTAAGACATTATTTAATGGCAATTATACGCACATACCGCACGTGCAAGCATTTAAATTTTGAATTGATTGCGAGAACCTAGAGAATGGAAATAACGTGACGCGGCACGTGGGAAATTCTATACATTTCCGACGCGAAAAGAAAGAGTCCCATGCATCCGTAAGTACTGCTGAAGAAGTAAAGACACCTAAGATTTCCCATGTGTCGCCAATTTGTTAACCTCCGTCGACGGCTTCGCATCCCACGTGGCCCGCCCGCCGTCGCGGGCGCATCTAATTTTATCCGTAGATTAGTCGCCCGACATATATATATATATTCCGAGATATCGTGAAATAAGCTCGGGGACTGCAGTTCGTATCGTACCTATAATGAAATTTTAGTCCGGCCATCATTTACGCCGGCTTAGGTATTACTTTTAATGCGGGTTGCCGCACACCGCGACACGATTAGTGTAATTAAATTATAGTCACCCTTATCGATCCTGAAACTCACGAGCCATCTCGATAGCGGAAACCTGAAACAACGGAAGTGGATATTTTAGGTTTCAATTCGCGGATGCAATTTCGATTAAAAATTTTAAATGCAGCTGCAGACAAAATGTCGCGAAGCGATTATTTCTGTAATAATTTCATACGGCTTTTATGGAACAGTTATTATTATCGGCATTATCTGCTTCCCGATATGATCGGAACCAGAAATTTGAGAAAAAAAAGGTAGCTGAATATTTTATATTGGTAGTGTTGCAAATAGTCGAAAGTAGAGATTTGTCGATAAATCACAATCGTTGCGTAGTTTTTTTATATTGGTTTTTTTTTTTTCAAAATTTCGGCAAATTTCGATGTAATATTTTGTATCATACACGTGTACGTACGTATTTCCTGAAACGCGTGATTTCTGTAAATTCTCGAAGGTAAACAAAGCTTAAAATTATAAACCAGCAACGAGTATCGGATGAAAAGTTTCCTGTAAATGAACATTTCCCGGAGGCACGCATACTGATACACGTCCGGTAGCGTCGCTTTCGTGTATTAACGGCAAACAAGCCGAGGTTGAGTTGCTCTTGATCTCTGTATGCGTATTCCGTCCGCATGCACGCGGCCTGCATCAATGTGTGTGCACGCGCTTGCACCCGTGCATAATGCGGGCAGCCGGCGAGCCTGCAAGTGCCAGCAATGAAATTCCCACGCTTGGTTTAAAATATATACATGTGTGTATGCGTGTCTGTGTTTGTACGTGTGCGTTTTGTATGTGTGTGTATATGTGCTCACTACCGTGGCAGTATTGCAGTATCCGAATTTAGAGCGTAAATGCATCTTCGAACAGGGAACGTTAACTCGTTGACCCGCGCAGGTAAATTTATGCGTATGCAATTCGGAAAAATGTGTTTGCGTTACGCTCGTCGGCGATAAAGTGAACGGCGTATTTTTCAGCGCCGCTACGTACCCGTATGGATACATGAACCAAGGAGGAAATGGATTTTATCTTCTTCGCCCGTGCGGAAAGAAAAGAAACGTGGCGAGAAATTTGCGAAGTTTTCACAATATACGTACGAAAGCGCTTCTGTTTATTATGCAAACACCAAAGTTGCCGAAACAAATAATAGTGAAATTTAATTAAATTTTTCTGTCTTTTTTTTCAAATTTTTCATCGCAATTCTTTCAATTATAATAAACGGGTTGAATGCATAAGCGATTTTGAAATTAAATCTCAGAGAAATTGCATAACGGAGCCAGTTTTCTATCCGTAACTTTCTGCAACTTCCCATTTCTAAGAAAGATTTTCGTGAGTTGGCATTTTCATAGCCAAGTCTAAATACAGATGGACGTTTAACATGTGAATGCTTTCGTACTTCTTTAGTTGACCGCGTGAATTATTTTAGATTAAATGCGGCCAGCTTCAATAAAATAACTTATTTATATAAATGTCAAACGAAATGAATAAAGTCGTACGTAATCAAATATAAATAAATCTGGAAAAATTTAAACAAACGTTTAAAAAACTGAGATTTTTTTGAATTTGTATATATATGTATAAATTTATAAAAATTTAGTTATTTATACATGAAGATGTAAATATTTAATTACGGCTTGATGGTTTGCTCACAGCTGACACTAAAAAAATTTCACGTTCAGTATTTAACTAATTTATCATTGAATTTCTCATTGAACAAAAGATACATTCTACAATTTCTTATTTTTCTAAGTGAACTTACTTTTGTAACATTTTTATTGTCTTACCCTGTCATACATTTATTTTCGCATTCTCTAAATATTCCCGGCACGAAATCGACGACCGTAAAAGTTACGCGAGCCGGGCAATGGAGTTTCGATATGGCCTTGTACGTACATGGGACGATTTCAAGAACAAAGGCAGAATTTATAAAAGTCGATAGGTCTTTATTCATGTTACAAAGTTCAAGAGTACCAATTCCGCCGTCGCTCTCTTTTATCCGCAGCCGGAGTACAACAGGTATGTCGCACAGACGGATGTATGCAACGTGCGCGTCTGCAGAAACTCGCCTCTGAAAAAGCTAGAACGTCGATAGTACTTAGAATGAAATTTTCTCTCGAGAGTCCTCGGCTGTAGCCCCAGCCGCTGACCCGCTCGCTCGCTCGCTCTCAAGGAGCAACGATCTTCTCTCGGAGTCACGTCGTTTCTCCTCACGGCCGGGCTAGGCCGCAGGACTAGACCGCGCGCCGCGAGTCGATGCACTCGGAGACGAAAAGAACGACGAACGGCGGCGAGACGAACTGCCGGCATCCACCGTGACGAAAATTGAATTATGCCGGAGGGCACGAAGCGCGGCCGATACATGTCGTACACG